AGGTTTCATCTGATTTCATGTTTTATGATGGCTGCCTGTGATTGGCTCAGTTTGGTTCCACTTGCTACTAGTGGCCTCCATCCCTGAGTCTTCTATACACAGTTTCATTGTTTTCTCAAAAGTGTTCTCAGCTTCACCTTCTATTGCCTCTGTTATCCAAGGGCCTTTTGCAGAGGTTTAAATCTTAGGTTTAAGATTTAAGGTTTAAATCTTAGCCTCTCTCTCACCCTGTGTGGTCTCCAACTGCCTTTCTCAATGCTGATCTGCCATATTGTTAGTCTCACAGCTCATTTTCCCTCTTCTCTATTCCATGATCTATAGAGTTTGGGAACCACTAAAGTCTTGTCCCGTTGTCTCCAAAGACTACTTCTTCCCAGGATTACTACATGACTGGACCTACCAATTCTGCTGCAACAAGCTGTCCAGTATACCCTAGCCCACCTTCAGGATTCTCTAGGACAGAGTGTTTCCTATTTTACTAGGATCACGTTTTTCCTTACATTTGAGGCTTTCCCACAGTCTCACTCACTACATTCTGCTGTGTTGTGATGGTAACACCAGGGTAGTCTGCTGATTTTACTGCTCTGCAAGTATCCAACAGGGAGGGAAGTGCCAGGCTCTCCTTCACTCATGTAGTTCCCCTATATGAGTTGGGTGAAGGAAGAAAGAAGGTGTTCATTCATGCCTGATCCATCGAAGAGGAGGGGGACCTCTACCACTACTAACAGTGTACAATGAAAAGAATGTCTGAAATTCCCTCTCAAGTGAAACACATCATGTGCTATTTCTTCTGAATCTGGGGCACTTTGCTGAATGGCCTGGTACAAATACCTGAGTATTTACTAAATCGTGTTTTCAAGAGAGAGATAATGTGAATTTGACTAAATGGTTACTTTAGTAACATTAAAAATTAAGATTGTATCATTTAGCAACCTTGTTTGTCATAAGCCATCAACCATTTCTAATGTTTATCTCTTGTGCCATGACCTCCAAAGAACTTCCTCAGTTCCCAAAGTGTGTGAAATAACAGTGGCATTTCATTTTACTAGACTTACTCTGTTTAGTCTGATACTAAAAATACTTCTTTCATAAATGCTGTTTAAAACCCCTCCAAAATATGTCTGCTTAAATCTCATCATTCTGCCAAGGATGCTTTTTTTCTTAATATTAATTTTGGTAGTTGATTTTGAGTTATTCATTTTTCCATTCAACCAACATGCAGTGACATCTCCTGTGTAACAGGCACTGGGCTTGGCTGGGAGGACGGGGAGGTGGGGGTATGACCAGATAGCTCCACTGCCCCTTGGGGAAAAAAGTGCACAGCCAAACAAATGAATAAATTACAGATTAGTGATAAGAAAAGAGGGAAATAAACAGAGTGCTCGTGCAGAAAATAATTGGAGTGGGACACTTTAAATATGGAAATGAGGGAAGAGCTCTCTGATGCAGCGAAGTTTTGGCTGAGATGAGAAGGTTGGGAAAGAGGCAGTCAGATGCAGGGCAGACAGAATTGTATTCCAGGTATAGGGAAAGCACTTGTTGAGGCTTTGGTGTGTGAAAGAGTATGTGAGTTGTTATTCTAGGAAATGGCAGAGGGCCAATATCACCAGTGCTTTGTTGACAAAGGGAGAGAATCATGTAGGGTCTGCGAGGCCCTGCTAAATGTTTTTGTTTATATTCACAGTTCTGTAAGAAACCATGGAATTATTTGAACACAGAAGTAAAGTAAAATGATTAAATTTTTTTAAAATACCACTGTGCTTTCTCAGTACAAAACAAATTATAGGAGAGCAACAGTGAGCTCAGCAAGACAGTGGTTAGGACAAGGGTGGTGGTGGAGAGACAGAGAGAGATGGATATAGGGAGAATTAATTTTATAGATAGGAAAGCCAGGATTTGTTAACAGATTGAATATAAATGATGAAAAAAAAAAGTCAATAATGACTTCTAGGGTTTAGCAAGGGGGAGGGCTTCTGTTTTCTTTTTAATTTTTCTTTTTTTTTCTTTTGTTTTTGGGTTTTTTGTTTTTGTTTTTTTGTTTTGTTTTGTTTTGTTTTTAATTGTCCACCAGAGTTAGAGGTGGCACTGTTTATTCATGATTGAAAGGACTAAAAGAAAGTAAGACCTGGCTAACAGGGCCAGGATGAATCAACAGTTCCACTGCAGACATGTTTATTTAGGTGTACCTGAGACATGCAAGAGGAGAGACCAAGTAGATTTGGACACACAAATATGGATACCAGAGGAGAGGTCTGGGCTGAGATGTCACTGTTGAGGTTGTGAGTATTCAGATCGCATGCAAAATAATAGGATGAATAAGACCACCTGGAGAATGAATGAAGGACAGTAGAAAGGTAGAGGCTAACATTTAAATATAAATTCAGGGTGAAAAACATATAAACAGTGAAGTACTGGGAGGAAAAGCAAGACAATCCAAGAAAGGAGTCTACTAGATATTCATTAAGGGAAACATTTGTGTTTTTCACCATGGCAGTTTTGGGGAACTGTAAAAATAAAGAGCATTTCATTATGAGGAAGAGAAACAACATATGTCCTAAAAATTTTAGGTTAATTTACAGTTAAAAAATTTTAGGTTAATTTACAGTGAGGGGAAACAGAGAAATGAGATACTTTGAACCAAGAGAATATTGAGCAAGGGAAGAACTTTTTGTTGTGTTTGTAATCTTTTTACTTGTTTATTTTATTTTTTTAAAAGATTTTTTTTATTTATTTGAGAGAGAGAGAGAATGAGAGATAGAGAGCACGAGAGGGAAGAGGGTCAGAGGGAGAAGCTAACTCCCTGCTGAGCAGGGAGACCGATGTGGGACTGGATCCTGGGACTCCAGGACCATGACCTGAGCCGAAGGCAGTCACTTAACCAACTGAGCCACCCAGGCGCCCATTTACTTGTTTATCTATTTTAAAAATCTATTTAAAAGATAGGAGATTTTAGGAGATGTTATGTGAAGGTAAAACATTATCTAGTAATGAGCAAAACTGTTAATGTTTCTGGAGAAAATCAAAGGAAGAACCAGACTAGTGAAGTTCTTAAAATCGACTTAGGCATATGGTCTAGACTGATGTACAAGTATTGATTTATCTTTGATAGGAGAAGGATCAGCTTCCTCCATTTTAATGGAATGGAAAGAATGGAAGAATTGTATAATTCCAAGAAGGCTTATAGATTTAATGCGACAAAGATGAGAGAGTTACCAATCAATTAAATACTCTGATTATTTAAGAATGCTCTCTCCTGTCTTTTGAGGGCGATAGTGAATTCCATTCCATTTTAGTGTTAGGTTGAAACTTCTTTACTGTTCACATTATGCTGTTTAAACAATTAGAAATGAGAAAGAATGGGTAGATCGCACATGTAATGCACAAGCCAGTGTTGATGAATATACCTTGTTATTTACCATCTTCCATTTTCTGATAAAAATGAATGTCTCTTACTGCTACCCAAGCCCAAGGACAACCCTCTTCTAAGATGAAAATTGCCTGAGGGGTCAACTGGAGAAAACTTTATCTTTCAAAATAAGCAACTCTCCTTAAAATAAGAACAAAAAAAGAACAGTATTAGTTACAGTATAAAACCCAATCCTTCCAATTACATAAAGCAATAACTGTGGCTCTTGTTTATTGGGATAAACAACCTGTAGCACATATTCAATGTGTTAAATGTATGTAACAAACATATATATGTGTGTTATATGTGTGTATATCTAATGTGTTCAGGATACTGAATAACTAGCCTCAACTACACAGTAAATCCAGGACACCAAGAAGTATATGACATATGCTTTCTAAACTTTGTAGTTTTAAAGGAGAGATGGTGAAGTAAACAATTGCTTACAAGATGGGGTAATCAGTTCTTCGTGAAAGGATGTTTAAAGGAGCACCTGGGTGACTCGGTTGAGCACCAGACTCTTATTTCAGCTCAGGTCATGATCTTATGGGTCATTGAATCCAGCCCTGAGCTGAGCTCTGCACTTAGTGGGGAGTCTGCTTGAGGAATCTCTTCTTCTACCCCTGCCCCCACTCATGTGTGCTCTCTCTCTCTCTAATAAATAAATAAATCTTAAAAAAAAATAGAAAGGATGTTTAAAGTACAAAAGTCACAAAATACTAAACCTCTGCACATGTTGAGCAGATGTAAAGGAGTCCTAGCACATTTTAATAAGAATGACATATCCAAAGGTGTAAGACACAGTGGATTTAGGAAAGCTGAGAATTAAAGGTCATTTAAAATTGCAGATGAATGGAGTATAATCGGTTTTTCTCCAAATCAAATTTAGTTATTTACCATGGCATCTAACATGTACAAATTCATTAATTCATAGCAGATTTTCGATACTAAATGTCTATTAAATAGCAATTAGGCTAACTACTAGAAACTGAAAATTTGGTAGTCTGATAAAGGCACATGAAAAAATAAATGCGGGCGCCTGGGTGGCTCAGTTGGTTAAGCAACTGCCTTCGGCTCAGGTCATGATCCTGGAGTCCCGGGATCGAGTCCCACATCGGGCTCCCTGCTCAGCGGGGAGTCTGCTTCTCCCTCTGACCCTCTTCCCTCTCGTGCTCTCTATCTCTCATTCTCTCTCTCTCAAATAAATAAATAAAATCTTAAAAAAAAAGAAAAAAATAAATGCATCTTACTTCCACAAATCCAGTGCTACAATATTTACATAGATAAAGCTATTCTAAATTAGAGTCTTTTGCCAAACTGAGTACACCTGTTCTAAATTTTGTGTCCATCCAATGTTTGTTTGAACCGTATAAAATCTAAGATTTGGCCTTGGTTAGACTTGTCAGACAATAAATATTACTGCATTATTTACAATGGTTGTGATAGATCCATTGCTCCTTTTCCCAGATTTGGCAATGTGGAGGCTCTCTGGAGATTGTGACTTGCTCCCATGTTGGTCACGTTTTTCGGAAGGCAACTCCCTACACTTTTCCTGGTGGTACTGGTCATGTCATCAACAAGAACAACAGGAGACTGGCAGAAGTTTGGATGGATGAATTTAAAGATTTCTTCTATATCATATCCCCAGGTAAAGATGATTTCTTCCTCTGCAGGGGAAAATAAAATTTTAAACATGCTGCATATGTGTTTCATTATTGCTACTATTCTACTAGTTTAAATAAAATGTTGTTTATCACCATAATATTACAGAAAATCGTCTTTGAGAAAGTTGTACTATGAAGTCATTTTTCACCTAAAGTGAGAAAGACTACACTTATCTCACATGCCTAAATACTCTCTTTCTCTTTGTTTCTTTCTTGGCACAAGAATTATGCTAGAAAAGTGGAGTAAGCAGTACACAGAGAGATCCAAATATAGTTAATATGTATTGGCTCAATTTAAGAGAAACAATATTTTTTAAGGAGAAGTAGCCTAGATTTCCTTGTTTCACAAATAAAGCTTGCTGAGTTGGTAAGAAATTTTGCTAATGTTTAAAGAGATGTTTTCTACTGCCTAAATAATTTCCTGAAGATATAGGATGGTAAATTATGCAGATATTAAAATGTGTATTTTTAAACAATACTAAATGACATAGCAAATTACTCATTAATTGATATGTGGAAAAGCATAATATAGGATAATAAAATATTACCCTACTTTAGTTACAGATAGTAGATATGGAAATAGAAGTAAATGTAGACTATCACTGGGTGGTGGGACTGTGAGTAATTTCATTATTTTCCTTTTTATACTTTTCTAAATTTTTAAAAAATAAAACATACTACTTATTTTTAAAAATTTATTTTAAAAGAATTTAAAAGGAAAATAAATTTTAATAAAGAATTTTAAAAATGTTTTAAAGAATTAAGAAAGAAAAAATGTGTGAGAAAATTCCATACCCGAGTGCTGTGATTATAAATGATCTCATTTTTATAATTTCCTAGTATTTTTCCAACATATTACTTATTAAAAAAACAACCTCTGAGACATTACATTGTTTTTTAAGGAAATAAGATAAGACATTATGAGAAGCTACAAACAAAGAGAAGACACAGGGGCCCTCAAGACCTCAAAGTTTAGACAAAGAGACCAAAGCATAAATTAATACAATGGGAATTCAACTGTACTGATACAATAATTTTTAAAGTTCTATTTTGCTAATTTATATTTAGGCCATGTGGTCATCAATGACATTATTATGTAACCCACAAGAAAAGCAACAAAAATTCATGCTAACCTCCTCTTTTTCACATTAAAATCTATTACATGGTTTGGAAAAACCAGTTTGGGTTCCTTTTTTTTTTCAGAATAAAAATTTTTTTTAATTTTTTTTATTAACATATAATGTATTATTTGTTTCAGGGGTACAGGTCTGTGATTCATCAGTCTTACACAGTTCACAGTGCTCACCATAGTACCTACGGTGCCCATAGGTACTCCCCAATGTCCATCACCCAGCCACCCCATCCCTTCCCACCCCCTCCACTCCAGCAACTCTCAGTTCGTTTCCTGAGATTAAGAGTCTCTTATGGTTTGTCTCCCTCTCTGGTTTCATCTTGTTTCATTTTTCCCTCCCTTCCCCTATGATCCCCTGTCTTGTTTCTCAAATTCCTCATATCAGTGAGATCATATGATAATTGTCTTTCTCTGATTGACTTATTTCGCTGAGCATAATACCCTCCAGTTTCATTAATGTTGTTGCAAATGGCAAGATTTTATTTTTTGATGGCTGTATAATATTTCAGTGTGTGTGTGTGTGTGTGTGTGTGTGTGTGTGTGTGTGTGTGTATACCACATCTTCTTTATCCATTCATCTGCTGATGGGCATCTAGGCTCTTTCCAGAGTTTGGCTATTGTGGACATTGCTGCTGTAAACATTGGGATGCATGTGCCCCTTCAGATCACTACATTTGTATCTTTGAGGTAAATACCCAGTAGTGCAATTGCTGGGTCGTAGGGTAGCTCTGTTTTCAACTTTTTGAGGAACCTCCATACTGTTTTCCAGAGTGGCTGCACCAGCTTGCATTCCCACCAACAGTGTAGGAGGGTTCCCCTTTCTCCACATCCTCGCCAACATCTGTTGTTTCCTGACTTGTTAATTTTCTCCCATTCTGTTGACTATCTTTTAGTTTTGTTGACTGTTACCAGTTTGGGTTCTAATTGACATGCTCTGATTTCTGAAAGTATATATGAGGCTGTGAAAGCTCTTCTTTTATAGATAAAGAGGCAATAAGCAGTGTGAACTTTCTTATTAAGATCCAGTATTACTATAGGAAAGAACAATGAGGGCAATGCATGTGTAAATGTGTGATTAGGCAAAGGATTGTTTTCACACGTTTTCAAGCTTCTTCTATGTCAAGAAGCTATTGTCAGAAACACTATTTCACACATAGATGTATTTCTCTTTATAGTAGAAAGCCAGTCCAGATATTCACAGAGTTGAGTTCGGCAAGAACATGTAAAATTCGTAGCAAGGCAGTGACATTTATATAACCTTTTCATTTTCTTTTGACAATACTTTCTGATTTCAAATCATTACCTTTAGAAATATATAAGCTCAAATATGAAGAAAGGAGTAATGGAAGAAAGAAATGTGTTATTTGTGATTATATACAACTTATATTCAGGAATATAAGCAATTGAGAATAATTGCCACCATGTGTATTATATCCACTCATGATGAATATTATTTGTAAAAAGTGATATGTTAGTCTTTTGTATAATTTCCCATTGAGTGAAAAAGGCAGATAAATGGTAGAACCATTTCTCAAACTGTAATGAAATGACAGGCTTTAGAGTTTAAAGGGTAAAAAGGAATGCTTGCTATCTGGAACTATTGACTTTATGTTGCTCAGCAGGGACTGTTTGTATATTCTGGAAAATGTAGTTTTTACATTACAATAAATATCATTTGGAAGCTTATTGTTCTTATGAGATGGGCTCATTTAAATCCAGAAAGGTATTTTAGAAAGCAGAAAAAGGACAATTGGGGAATATGCTGAAAATATCTAGAACTTCCTAAGGGGCATTTATGTTTCTGTATGTCTCAGAAACTGTCAGCATTGCTGAGCATGGGACCTGCCTGCTGTAGTATGGGCAAACAGGAAAAACCAAAAACACAAACCAATAAATTGCTTTCCAGTGGAAAAGGAAAGGAAGTAAACTGGAGACTAGAGCTGGACTTCAAAAACAATTCTAGCCCTGGGCAACTTTCAGGTCACCCAAAAATGGATAAAATGGATTGTATTGGAAGTCAGGAATCTGGCACTTGTATGGTGTTGAACGTTTTTTGAGTGAATAACTATTTTAGTTATTACTGATGGTTTCTGATACTCTTATAATCAAAATCATGGATTTCTTTGCTATCATCTAGAATTGTTGGGATTCTATTTTTCATTGCCTTGAGTAACAGAAAAGTTTGTAAAGAGAGTAATTGGTGTACGGGGATAGTGGAGGCATCCATGCATGGACATCTACACTTAGACTTACATCCTTTGCTATAATATACATAGAAACACACAAACACACACATGTATTTATGAAAAACTCTAAAGAGCTTATATTGAGTTCTGTTTAATTCTCTAGAACTTCCTTAATAATCTAGCTGAGGAAATTGTTGTAATTCTTTCTAGAAGGACCTCCATGTATCTGTGAATTTGCTGAAGATGTTGCCGAACATCTTCGGCATAAAGATGGGCATCTTTTATGAGGAGACTCACATTTTCTACATCAGGGCTTCTATTACAGAATCTTATTCTTCTCTTATGCAGCTTCTCAAAATGCCATCATTAAGTACTGAGTCTCTATGAATTGAATTCTGACAACTTTGCTTCCTTTCAATATGCCCTATAAAATACTACCTACCTACTTTATGGTTTGGTTTCTGCTTCAGCTCTGTCCTGAAAAAAGTATTACTATGTACCATATTGTTTTATGTTTATTACGTGTCTCTACATCCAGAGACTTGTAGTTACAGTGCTTAGCAAGTTTCCTGTCACTTTGCAGTCCTTGAAAAAAATATGTGTTAAATAATTAGAAGAATCAGTGAATGACTAAAGGAATGAATGCATTTTAAAAGGAAGCCACTTAGTTTTCTTCTTTTCTACTGAATTCTCCATGGATGTCTGGTCTATCCCAGGGAATCTCACAAGAATTGCAGCAAATTGGGAGCCTTTGTCCCACTTCTCTGATCTAACCCCTGATTAAGGACTCTCTGATAAGAAAGAGGTGAAAAATGCTCTTCATATATCCACGATGTCATTCCTCTGTGTTTGCCATCCGAAAAGAAGGTCCCATTGGCTTACCCCATGTTCTTAGGGTATGATAATTACACCATAATTATAGGCCCACACAGTAATACAATCTTACCTTCCAGGACTAATATAAAATCAAACAGACACGATTTAGGTAGACAATAACATTCTGTAATAGAGCAGCATAATACAAGAGCCCATAAACTTAAGATTACTTTTACACATGTTGATTTTTATTTTTCTCATGACAATGGGATGTATAAATAACTATGTATGTGAATTACCTTTATCTGATTTATTTTTTCAAAATATTTACTGTATGTCCTAATTGTCTTGCCTATGCCCATTAGCCATTGGCCATATTGACAGAGCTGGCAGAGTCTAATTATGTCTCTCAAATGGCTGCATGAGTGAAGAGTAGAAATACTTTGAAATAGCGTCGAAGAATACATTTTCAACATTTGTTTAGTTTGCTTTTTGGCCGCCTTTTTTAGGATGCAAATACTATAGCATCATTGATTTTTAAAGCCCTGTAGGCTCTTAAAGTCTGAGGCAGTTTTTACTAATAATTGGGCTGTTTCAGCTTGAGGCAATCTGATTGTCCTAGCAAATCCTTTGAAATGAAGTGATGTAAGCAGAAACCACTTCACAGAGCACCCCATTAAAAATGGCAACAATTTTTCCTGTTGGTCACAGGTAAAAAGTTTAAGAACTTTAAAATGGAGTGTGGTTATAACACTAACCGTATATTCGAAATGCTGGCTGTTCTATAAATATTGATTTTCTTTTTGGGGGAGGTGGATTTCTAACTGTGTATCAATTGACATGGTGGGTAGAAGCAGCTGTCCTTATAT